CAGGCTTCATTGGCAATAAAACCAAACTTTATATATATGTATGTATATATAAATTCTGCACATATTCTTGCAGAAAACAAATAGGAAACATTTCCCATTTCACTGTAAGGTCAACATTAACCTGATACAAAACTATCACAAGCTCTTAAAAAGAAAGGAAAACAACAAAAAATCCTGAAAAACAAATAAACAAAAACTACAAACTGGACCAGCCCTGTGGCCTTTAAGGGAGCCAGATCCCACATAGCCTGTTAGTTTGAATCTTGGCCCTGGAGGCTTGAAAAACATATGATTACATGTGCCCCAAATTCCACCAGGATGGAGAAATGGAAAGGGATTAAAGTGTGACTATGCCCCACAGGAAGATGCTTTCTGTTTGACTCTCTCTCAATAATAAAAAACCTACAGAGGATATGCAGTTGGCATAATGGCTATGCCACTGGACTCCCATGTAGCTGACCATAGTTTGAGTTTCAGACCCAGTAGTTTAAATTCACGCCAGGTGCCTCTGCATACATGCCAAAGATCCTGAGAGGAGAATGGAGAAGGGATAGCAGTGTGGCCATTCCCCCTGGGGGGTGATTTCTGGTTTTCTGTCTCTCTGGAGAGCGCACACACACTATAGCAAAAACAAAACAAAACACACACACACAACAAAACTGCCCAAAAACAAACAAACAAAACTACAAACCAGTATTCCTCATGAACATAGCTATACAAATTCTTCATAAAACTTAGCAAATCAAACCTAACAATATATTGGGATTATCACAAAAGTGACGTATTTTCTATGCAAAAATGTGTCATGACTTTTCCGATGATCCAATATAAAAAAGTAATGCATCCCAACCAAGTGAATTTTAGCCGAGGAAAGCTAGATTGTATTAATATTCAAAAACCAACCAATAAAATTCACTGGAAAAAACAACAACAAAAATCAATACAGAGGGGGACCAGCAGTTAGCGTAATGGCTATGTCGCTGAACTCCTATGTAGCCGACCGTGGTTTGAATCTCAGATCTGGTGGCTTAAACTCATGCCGGGCACATGTGTGCGTGCCCAAGATCCTGAGAGGAGAATGGAGGAGAAGGGATTATGGCATGGCCATCCCCCCTGGGGGGTGATTTCTCATGTTCTGCCTCTCTCTTTCTGGCAAGCGCATGCGCCCTATAGCAAAAAACTATCAAAAAGAATATATATATATATCAATACAGAGGGACCAGCAGTTAGCGTAATGGCTATGTCGCTGAACTCCTATGTAGCCGACCGTGGTTTGAATCTCAGATCTGGTGGCTTAAACTCATGCCGGGCACATGTGTG